GAGTTCGTCAAACTTTAGGAAACAATAAGTATAGAGGAAAAAAAACATAAAAACATTAAAACTAAAAAACCATATGATAATAATTCAAACAAAAAAACTAAAATACATAACAGCTACGCGGTTTGAACCCACACACTTGTGGACTTCATTAGATGCCTTATACCACTGGGCTAAAGTATATTCATTGTTCATACTCATTTTAAACAAACTCTAAACTTTTAAAATTTAAATGTGCGGGACCCACAAACTTGCTGATGTGGATAGCCTTAGAAGCCTTAGAAGTGAACTATTATATTGATAGATTAGATAAGACCAAAAAAACGTTAATTCAAATGAAAGTCTCCAAATAATTTGTATAAGTAGATTTTTAAAGAGTCATTCTTTTTTAATAGTAGTGATGTTTCATGCCAGAGACTATGTTCATCTAAAAAGGGTCATCTAAAAACAGATCCTATGTGCATGAGACTCCGAGGAACAACTCCATCAAGCGTAAGTGAAAGATTAGCCAAGTAACTAGTCTTAATATTAGAATGCCCAACATTCAGAATAGAGAGGAAACCATGTAAACGTAAATCTCGACCTACATGCACTTCATTCCTGGCTAGGTCCTAGACGAGACGATTAGATATAAAGAAATGAAGATTCTCGTAAGTTGAAGCCTTGAATTGGCACCATCTTGACACGTTGGGAGGCAAGAAAACAGAGGTGAAAGGAAGGCAACAACGCTTCGCGTAGTCGGGTTGCAAAACCCCAAACTCTACGCATCTGGTATAATGTATAATGTTACGTTAACATACCTAATCTTTAAGGTGAACGCTTCTAAAGCATTTATATTCGATGACATGACTTCTTAGTTTCATAATTTGAAAGGTGTTATTCTCTCTAACATTGATAGAGTCTAACATTAATATTAAAAGTTTAATTGAAAAATTCAATGGATCTCTCGTCAATGCTGATGCTCTTACTCTGTAGTCTCTAACATGACAAGCTACTGGAGAGGGTTAGCCCTCTTTTATATATAGTAAATAGATAAGCACTGATGCACTTTAGACACATACTAATCCCCTAAGAGCATCTCCAACATCAAACACCCTTTGACACGATTCCCGAAATAAGTTTTTTAATTTTTTTTTCGTTTGACTTTTTCAAATAAAAAAAAAATTTCAACAAATCATGGTCCGCCACGTGGCGAACTCGTGGCGAACCAGTATCACCACCGGAAGCTTTTGTGATACAGGTTCAAGAAATTTTTTTTTATATTATTTTGTTTTTTTAGAACCGTGTGAACCCCCTTGATACTCTAATGTGGGTGGTCTAATGCTCTTAGAATAGTTCTAAGATTATAGTGCTGGACAAACACAAGTCCATTCTATCGGATGCATCAGAATCTGTTAAGGCCCAATATTTGGTAGTATTACTAAGAGATTGTTGTATATTACAATACAGTAGACCGTATCTGAAAAGGATATGAAGTACTAAACGATTCTGATACTAAAAATCCTAATGAAAATGAAAAGAGATCATAAAACAGATGCATTGTCCCAAAAAGAACAAAAAAGAAGTTCAAAATATTTATTAATTAGTATTGTGTTGGATGATAATGTTATTAAATTTTAGTGGTTACGATACGACCAGCCCACGTGACCACATGCATGTATTTGAGAAAAATATTTGTAATCAACTAATTATTAAAGTTATTAATCAAAATATTTAATTTTACTAGTCTTAGTTCATTCTTTTGAATAGTAAAGTGGGTCCATAAAGAACAGTTAGTTGGGCTTTGGGCCCCAAGCTTTGATTCTTGAATGACCCCCTTCCAAATAAACACCTCCTATCGGCTATCTTGCGTTCTATCCATTTTTAAAAATATATAAAATATTAACTTAAAATGAGTAATATAACTAAAATGATCTTTTTAATATATTATTATTATTACTATTTTTATTAACATGAAGATATCTCAGGCCCATGAAAATGTTCAGATTAATTCTTAATGGGAGGTGCTGTCCACAAATATACCTTATTTTCAGGTATTTAAATGAATTCGAAAGCATGAGTCCATAACCATGTTAGATTACTAGAAATAATTTTGATTTAATTTTACATAGTAAATGGATCAAAACTAAAACATATTAGTGTCCTAATCCTTCTTCCTTATCACTTAACCATAATCACCTTGTCAATATATTTTTTTTTTTCGTTTTTAAACATCAGCATAATTAATGTTTTTGCACTAGTTCACCCATAATTTAATATTTTTAAAACGCGAAACTTCACTTTTAAAAAGTTATTAACAACAAAATTTAGTAGCTTAGTGGTAGTGAACAATAATTATTCTTTTTATGTTTTTTTTTTGAGAAAGGGCAATTATTTTTTAATGTTATGATTTCAAACCATCTTCATTACGAATTGTTACTTCTTACATCAGAAATTCTAAAGATTGATTTCAAGTATGTGAGAGATTATGAGTTAAAGTCTGAAAATATTAATAAGAAAACACTTTGTAGATAACTAGTTTTTTTTTTTTTTTTTGAAATTAACTAGTTTTGTTGTGCATATGTAGTATTTTACAGAGTTTAGTTACGATAATTTGAGTGAATTCCTTTTTTCCATCGATGGTGCATTAAAAATAATTCACGTATTTGTATAGTCTGTTACACCAGATTAGTGGACTTCGATTATGAAGTTGGAATTTATTTTGTTTTCTCGTGGTTTACATAAAAACACATTCGATGTGTGTGTTTTTGAACAAACACATAAATGTGAGTGTATATATATACAGAGCCGTGCCTCCGCGAGATCAAATTAAACTCGATTAGGGTAACAGATTTTTATAAAAAACTTGGATAAAACCCACCACCCTAAGGACGGGATTTATAAGTAATTGAAAAAAAAATCAAATTCTAATAAACATTTGATACTTTTAATAATTTTTTTTTATCTATTTCGCATTAAAACTTTAGTAAAATTATGGGAAATAGGACTATTAAAAAGCAATAATGCATTTCTAGAATAATAATCATATTGTGTGAATAGTTTAATATATATAAATTCGTCTGAAGATCATTTATTATTAAAAGATAACCTGCTTAGAATTACACAAATTCATAAGTTTCGACCTAATAGAGTTAAATACAAAAACAATTATTTACTAAAATTGTATAATGATAGTATTCATGTTTTATTAGAAGAGGTAAGAAAAGAGTTAAACTCAAGTGGCATGTTTGATATTTTTTTCTTATTTTCAGGGTTTTAAAAGTTTTAATTAAAATTAACAAAATACGATAAACTAAGTTTTGTGTTTGTCACTGAGATTTTTCTAAACATTTACATACAATATTACTTCTTTCATTTCACAATAGTTTAAAATAAAAGCATTAACATTAAAAATTTGTTATTTTATAGAACATAATATTTAATTAATAAATTTTACTAATTATAAATATACATTATTTGATTGGTCACATTATATCCATGTAAAAATTACCTAAATGTGAGAAAATTACATATAGTTTGAAAGAAAAAAATTCTTAATACTATTTACAATAAGAAAGAGAGGGAGTAGTATATAGTTTTAATGAAAATACATTATTTAATTTGGTTTTGTTAATAAATACATAATTTAAGAAGATTTTAATTTGCAAAAGAAATGAATGATTATTAATGAAAGAGATCAAACTATAAACCTGCATTTATTACTTTGTATTTGTAACTTTAAGAATTATTATTTTCCAGTCATAAGATTTACTACTCTCAGTAATCCAGAACCAATTATTGTTGATTTTTAGTAATTTTTTGAATTAAGTTTTAATCTAAATGTTAGTATTAAATAATTATATTCAATAAAATTTAAAATATCTGATCAGACCATTGTAAAGCCATTTTTTACATTTTTTCATATTTGATTGATGAGTTATGTCGACCACTCATAGTGGCTCTCCTCCGGTCAGGAATCTTAGAAATCATTTCGGTTTCTTCATGCGTACAACCGAGTTGGCAGCGATCGATGCTAGAATACAATTTCTTTAACTAATCTTCAGTTGCGGTTCACTTTGTTCATCATTAGCTGATGCCAAAGATGTTTTGATTAATCAAAAGTATCTGAGATATCTTTTTAAGAAATATGAGAAAAAAATAATAAACATTAGGTATAGAGATTTTGCGTAGAAACTTACTAGTTATCTTATACAATTCTATTTATATATAATCTTTTTTTTTGGGAAACATATTGCAGTAAAATTGCAGTAAATAGGTAGAAAAAGTGAGACTCATTGAATGATACCATAAAATCCTTAGTCAAAGAGAAACCAACAAACAAACAAAAAGTCAAAAGATTAAACAAGAACCATGACACATGTCATGCTGAGAAAATATAAATTTAGTGACATGGCACTCTCATATAAGAGAAAAGTCTATTTTATATAATAAGATTAAGGGCATCAGCTAATACTAATCATAATCATAGGTATAGATTAAGGGTATTAAATTATTATAAGAAACATTAGTCTATGTGATGATAGCATTTAAGTAATTAAAATAAAAAATTGGAAGTATGATAAAAAAAATTGAGTTTCTTAAATAACAAAATGAAAGTTGTTAATTATTAGAAAATACTAAAAATAGAATAGATAGATGCTTTCTAAATGTTTTTATTGCTAAAACAGACAAAACTGTATCATTTTGAGTATTGCATAAGAAACTACTTATTTCATTTGTCAAAAAAAACATTGACTAATTTATCTCTAAATCCAACTAAAAAGAATTGTTTTGTAAAAATAAATAATTTTTTTTTTTGATAATAAAATAAATAATATTTTTTTGTAATTAATATTTATTAATTAATTTAATTTATATATTTCTACTCTATAGTAATTGGTATTATTATTTTTAATGCAGAAGTTTTTATGAACTTTTTCTTGCTTATGGTAGCTATGAACTTTCGCACGGCTCTGTATATATATATATAAGCATAACGTTGTACATAACACGAGAAGAAGAAAATGGAGAATCCTCAGAGTCAGAGTAGAAACAAGAAAAAGAGGCTAACACAAGAGCAAGTTAGACAGCTGGAGAAATGCTTCACGTTGAACAATAAACTTGAGCCAGAACTCAAGCTTCAACTTTCCAACACGCTAGGTCTACCTCAGAGACAAGTCGCAGTCTGGTTCCAGAACAAGCGAGCAAGGTCCAAGACCCAGTCTCTTGAGCTCCAATACTGCAATCTCCAATCCAAGCTTGAAGCAGTTCTCTCCGATAAGGCAAAGTTAGAATATCAAGTACAGTTTCTCCAAGATGAGTTGAAGAGGTCTAGAAATCAGCTTGCTCTGTTCATGCATCATGATTCTCCTGTGGATAATTCTAATCTTCGCTCTTGTGAAGAAGATCATGATGATCAAGTAGTGGTCTTTGACGAGCTTTATGATTGTTTCGTTACCAATGGACATGGATCTTCATCAACCTCATGGGTCTGACTCTGTTCCAACACATACTAGATTCCAATATTCAATATTATCTCTGTTGTATACTTATATTTGATCATATTGTTTTTTCTTATCTATATTGTAATTATAGTCATTCACTAATTGAGTGTGTGTGAAAAATGAAAAGAAAGATGATTTCTTTTTTCTTATTTCAACTCTAGATATAGTTAATGAATATAATGTAACTACAATCACGAATAGCAATATTCAACAACACAGGAAAACCCACATGAAGTGTTTCATTCAAGATTGTTCAACAGGCACCAATTCTGCAATGATTTAAAAACTTTTAGGTGTAACAGTTCAATAATCCAGGTCTAACCATTATCTCTTCAATTTGGTTTGATTTTGATGTGATCAAGTTTTAACGACAAAGATCAACAACAGGTACACGACAAACCCATAGCAATATAAACACACAGAATCAATGGATAAATCATGAGAGCAATAAGAATCAATAAGGGGGTGAAAAATCTTCTGTATTGTCAGAGTATAGAGTATGTAATCGTCTCCCAAATCTCACAGAACTACAATAAAATTAGATTAAAAGAAAGCATAGTCTCAAAGATGACTAAAACTAGGAATTTTTAAAGTTTAAGTTGAAAAACTAAAATTGGGCCGTTAGTGTTTTCAACCGGTTGTAGAGAAGGTGTTATGGACTGGTTGCTCTTATTGGTTGAAAACATGTGAACCCAATTCAACCAGGTCTGAGAACTGGTATTTGGACTAGTTGCTATGTCCGGTTGTAAATCTGCAAACCTTCAACCATGTCTGTGAAGTGGTTTCTCTGACCGGTTGATTGAATCTCGACTCCAATATTTGTTTCTTGTCCATTTTTGTTCCATTCTCAATTCTGTTTGCTTATTTTCCAAAGATATACCTAGAAGACTTTCAAGATACTAAAAATACCAAAATGACTGGGAACCTTGATAAAAGACTCGAATTTAAAACAATATATAGAAACCCTTAAAAAGCACGATACATCAGATCCTCCTCAACATAGTTCTTATAACAGATTCCTCCTTATCAGATGTCATCACAGACATGATCGCATTTATCAAGCTCTCTTTACAGCAAAGTTCTCGATATTGAGCCTCTAGAGTGATATGGTTTGTTAGTGAACGTTCTATTAAACCCCGGCTTAGCCTGTTAGCCACATATACTATTGATGAAGTTTAGCCATTTCTGGAACACAAGAAGCAAAATCCAAAAGATCAAGTCTATTTTCAAAGAGTGAACTGAAGATTCGACCTCTATATAGCTTTGAGTAGGAGATTGTCCAAATCCAGCCAACATCTATGGGATATTGGAACTTGGCTCTGTGCCTTTTGGAATGTCATGAATAGAATGGATGGTAAGAGCGTACATAAATTGTGTGGTTTGAAAATAGATTAACATTTCTTAGGGAACAAAAAAGTTATCACGTGACCTTTCTCGGCTAACTTGTTGGCTAGACTATGGAGTGACATGACCAAAATAAAGTATGGAAACATGAAAGGATGAGACGTTTGACCCATTTTATTTTCCTAAATTGTCGAAACTCAAAAAGTTTTGTTTCAGTATAACTAAAATAAGAAGCTATTTTTTTTTTAACAAAAATAAGAAGCTTTTGTTTTTGATTTTCAAATTAGAAAAAGCGCTTGACTTCTTAAAGTTTTTTCGGTTGCTGTTCGTAGTCTTCTTCTCTCTTTTAAAATAGAGAAAATAGTTTTTTTAGACCAAAACCATTAGGAAGTTGTCCCTTTAATCTAATCTCATTTAGTTATTGTCCCATTAGGTTAAGTTTTTTCTAAATGGCAATAATACCCTTAGAACAGTTTAATAATTCGTAATTATAATTAGAAAATAATAATAAAATTATTTTTTTTGATTAAAAAATTGTATTAGAAATTAAAAAAATAAAATAAATAAATTAAAAAAATTAAAAAATTAAAAAAAATATATTTTCGATTTGATCATAAAGTATATTCGAAATTAAAAAAAAAAATAAAACTTAATAATTCGTAATTATAATTAGAAAATAATAATAAAATTATTATTTTTGATTAAAAATTAAAAAAAAAATTAAAAAATTAAAAAAATTAAAAAATTAAAAACAATATATTTTCGATTTGATCATAAAGTATATTCGGAATTAAAAAAAAAATAAAACTTAAAAAATAAAATAAGATATTTTTGATTTAATTAAAAAGTATATTTGAAAATAAAATAAAAATTAAAAAACCCCATATTTAAAAAAAATGGAGTTTTAAATATGGTAATAGAATATTCTCTAAGATATTCTTGCTATATTTTCGGATCTAATAATATTTATCCGTAGAATTCAGATTCTACAAAACGTAGAACTGTGTAAAAAGATATGAAATCAGTTTCTACGTGTATTAGAACGTTGTGCGAATTTAGATTCTGACTTCTACTTGTCTTAGATTTAAGTACGAATTTAGATTTCAACTTCTACTCTTTTTAGAACTATATGATAAGCGTGGAATGTGTATTCCAAACTATTTTAGATTCATGTTATCTCCGTAGAAAACATATTCTACAATTCGTAGAAATAGTGAAAAAAGTAGATTCCGTATTCTAATCCGTAGAATACATATTCTAATTTCGGTAGAATAGATATATGAAATTATTATTTACATATTTTTAAAACAAGAAAAAAATATCACTATATAGATATAGAGATTTCATCATTATGTACTATTCAATAATTTAGATGTTGGGGTTTTTGCCAAAACTAACCTACAACTTGATTTAAACTCTAATACTAGACCCAAACTTGAATCAAATGCAATTCTAACCTAAAAGGGTTATGAAATTACATTATAGTCTTTTGTGACCAAAGAAAAAAACAGAAGACATTTTTACGAATTTAGCCCCTGTAAGTTGTCTGAGTCAGACTGATCTAGTTTTCGGTCGTCTGGACGACTGAAATTAAAGTTGTCTGGACGACTGAATCTTAATAATAATTTATAAATTTTGTAAAAAATATTTTGATGAGTGAAAAATTAAAAACTTGTAATTATAAAAATTTTAAAATGATATAAATTAAGAAATGATAAAATTGATTTATTTTCATCATAGATGAGTGGAAGTAGTGAATCATGATATTCTTTGGTCTAAGGGTTTGACAAACATATGTTGTAGCATTGTATGTAATCTTAGGGTTAGATTTTGAAAACCTGAAATGTTTTTTTCAAAAATTTAATTTGGCCTCTATGTGTTTATTTATGTGTATACTAAACATTTTCAAGTTTAATTTAAGTTTTTGAAGTGTTTAATTAGAGAATGAATATCAGGGGTTATGTTTAGGGTTTCTACGACTGAAATTTCAGTCGTCTGCTTTAAATTATTTACCAGACGACTGAAATTTCAGTCGTCGTAGTATTGCCGCCTAAAATTTAAGAAATATTTTACTTTCCCGCTAAAATTATTAAAGTCTCATGGGCGACTGAAATGTTTGTTGTCTGGACGACTGAAATGTTAGTTGTCTGGACGACTGAAATGTTAGTTGTCTGGACGACTGAAATGTTAGTCGTCTGGACGACTGAAATTTCAGTCGTCTGTTTCAAATTATTTACCAGACGACTGAAATTTCAGTCGTCTTAATATTCCCGCCTAAAATTTAAGAAATATTTTAGTTTCCCGCTAAAATTATTAAAGTCTCGTGGACGACTGAAATTTCAATCGTCTGAAATCGAAAACATTTAACCTAATTGATTTTTTGTCTCCCTATATAAAGAAAAATTTACACATTCTCACTCTTCCTCTCAAATGTCTGCAACAAAAATGTAATGTTCATTTTTCTAGAACTCTCAAACCTCTCTATAATCTCTTTGAACTTATAAACACCAAACTTTATATCAATTTATTATTTTTGTCTCATNAAAATGTAATGTTCATTTTTCTAGAACTCTCAAACCTCTCTATAATCTCTTTGAACTTATAAACACCAAACTTTATATCAATTTATTATTTTTGTCTCATGTCTTTCTCACTAATTTTTCTTGTTTTTGCAGGTTTTTCATCACATGGTTCTCATATCCCACTCATTTAAAGATATATTTATCTAATGTTTCACTTATTATTTATGTTTTCTTCATTTGGTAATTTTTTGACTTGAAAACACCAAAATTTATATGAATTTTTCAGTTTTGGCTCATGTTTTTCTCACTAATCTATCTTTTTCTTGCAGGTTTTTAATCATATGGATCTTCATTTTGATATGTATGTTGTGTGTTCTATAAAAGTATATATATATATATCTATATATATATATATATCTAATCTTCCACTCATTTTATGTGTGTTTTAAGCCATTTGAATGTTTTTTGATATGCAGATTTTTCAGATCTGGGCTTGATATGCAGGTTTTTCAGATCTTGAAGACTTCTGGGATGACTTACATGTTAGTCGTCTGGACGACTTACCTGTTAGTCGTCTGGACGACTTACCTGTTAGTCGTCAGGACGACTTACCTGTTAGTCGTCAGGACGACTTACCTGTTAGTCGTCTGGACGACTTACCTGTTAGTCGTCTTGGATGACTTACTTGTTAGTCGTCTGGAAGTTGTCTGAACTTCCTGGAAGTTGTCCGGACTTCCTGGAAGTTGTCCGGACTTCCTGTAAGTCGTCTGGACTTCCTATAAGTCGTCTGAAAGTTGTCTGGACTTCCTGAAAGTTTTCTGAAGCTGTCTTGTTTCATATCAAGTGGAGTCCAAACTTATCTTTGTAGAGGAATGATCTATTATAGTTTCGTTTGTGGTATGTTTTGTGATTTGCATGTATACTCTTTTAATTGTGAATTTTTTTTGTAAAATCAGTAATATTGTTTCCCAAGATGTAATATTTGTGATAACAATGTGTTTACACATTTACAAATCAATGAAATAATAGACTTCAACATCAAACCCTTCTTCCAACAAATCATCATTGGTGTTAAAACATATTACATGTTTTACAAGTTTGTGTTGAAAAACTTAGTCAAATTTA